CCGACGGAGTACCGAGATCCTGTTAATATTTAAAGCATATTTGATGCATGTACAAATAATTTTAAAGCGAATGGAACTATTTAAAGTACAAATTGTACAATATCTACCTTAAATATTCTATTAAGTTGATCAACTTCAGACTTTCCGGGGAACAAAGGGTTCATTGTGATGAATTCAGCAAATATGCAGCCGACGCTCCACATGTCGATGGGCGTGGAGTACTCCTTGCAGCAGAGCAGCAGCTCGGGCGCGCGGTACCACAGCGTCACCACTATCGGCGTATACTGCCGCAGCGGCGAGCCGTACTCGCGCGCCAGCCCGAAGTCTCCCACCTACAAAACATACAGAAAGCTCTTGTCATCAACACAAATATAGATATACGCAGTACAGATTAACAGCAGTATACATATCATAAAGCATATTTAAAAGAAAATAACCCCCGATATTTACCTTTAGCACGCCTTTGTGTGATAGCAGAAGATTACTTGTTTTAAGATCTCTGTGCAATATCCAGTTGTCATGCAGGTGATGTACAGCCTTCAACAGTTGTGTCATGAGGCATTTTATTTCACCTGTAAAGAAAACAAAACAATTTAACTTCAAATTTCAATGTTCTAAAATTGTGTGAAAATACATTAAAATGTGGTCATGGGTCACATGAAATAGAATTACTTAATTGTACTGTTAAATTATCTCACCAGGTAGAAAGACTTGTTTCTTGCCCCGCATCGTCTCCATGAGGCTCTTGAGGTCGTGTTCGACGTAGTCCATGACGATGAAGATCTTGTCCATGTTGGAGCCGACGACGATCTCGCGCACGGTCACGATGTTGGGGTGCTGGCCCTGCAACAAGCGACCGCAACGTGCGACTCGTTAGAAGTTAGCGTGCCCGGGACACGCGGCGACCAACCGTGCGGACGATAACTATCTTATTTTATACTCTGCAGGAGAAATCATTAACAAACACACACAAATATTAGTACTGCAATAATAGAATTAGACTTAAAAAGTAAACTGTTCTTGCTGCTGGCCGTCGGTCGCAATATTATTTCTTGTCAACTATTAATACAAATATATTGGAGAAATAGTTTCCGTTATAAGGCAGTCATCGGACAGATCCAGTCAGTTAGTAGTTTCGCATTTAGCTAAAGTTCCTTGATTATGCAAAACAAAAATGTTACTTTGCGAAATACTGCTGTCAATTATCAAATTAGGGACGACTTAATTATCATAGTCTGTTTTTCGTATAAATTTAAACATTAATAAAACATTTAATTTATAACATCAAATAAATGTGTCGTGTGCAACACTCTTCTTTAAACAATTACACGCCTCCACAAACATAAATATGGCCTAAAATTACCAGTTTAGTTTGCTGTGCAATATTCTCAGGTAGGTTGGGAAATGTATTTCTTTGGGTAAACAAATATACAATAATTACATGAAAAATAATTTAAAAATCAACTAGTTAACTCCACAGGATTCTCCATCATCACAGGTTACAAAACAGGGCTTTTCACATCACAAAATATTCGAAGTAATTATAAGATTTGTAATGTAAGAAGCCACAATACTTAAAAATAAAATAAACATCGAAAATATTGTTTGAGATGGCGATGCAAATATTTTTGGCTTAATATTGAATACATTTAAATATTATAACAAAACTGTAGTATATTTTATCGTTTGTTGGTTATAAAAACTTGTCTCATGTAAATTTTTCGGATAAATTAATTACATTATTCCACAAATTAAGCAATCAAAACGCCATATATTATAATAAAGGAAATACAATTATTGTTATTGCAAAACTACACACATAATCCCTTTTTGTAAGTATTGTAGCAAGTGCATATAAGAAAACGCTGAGGCTTATAGATTAAGTCACATGATCAATTTGAATAAACCTAGAATGTCCCATCTCACTTGGCTACCCTATTAATTTATTCCTAAAAAATATAGTCAACAAAGCCTTACGTTTACATCCAAAAACCTTATAGGTTAATGTCTAAACTATGTCAAAATAAAAAAAAAGTCAGTAGTATCAATCACCACGTAGTTAAGATATAACAAGCATTATTACATTGTCTTCGAGTTAACACAATGTGCAGCAATGCTGGAGCATAACCTAAAAAGTAATAAAACAAATAATCATATAGATTTTACGAAAATCATAATACTAAAATTGCAACTTGTTACTTTTTTGGGGCCAGAGGTGTGTTTTAATAGTCAAAGTTAGTAATTTTCTAAATCATTTCAGGAATGTTCATTCGATCCTTTAAATGGATGACATGATACTATTGTTTTTAATTTTTACTTTTAGATTTTTTTTTTGTGGACACATTAAACAAAACCACAGTTGACAAATTTATCTAGATTTTCAATATGGAATACATTTTTGAGAAAGTGCTTTCGATTCTGCAATAGCACATGGTGCTAAAAATACTAAACTATCTCTAGTTAGAGTTAATTAATAGTTTGTAAAAGTCGTCCTAAGAATGTTGACATTTAATACTAAACATTTTCCTAAATAATAATCATAATATAAAACGATATATGTCCCCGAATTTATAGCATTTTAACCAAAGAAATTACTGTATGTACTTTGTACTTATTATGTACTTTGTATTATAGGAAAATGTGATAAAATAATGCAGTTTGTAAAATAATAGAAAACGGAATTAATACAGAAAAACATTAATAAAAACATAACATAGAATGTTAAGGGCCTGTCCCACCACTGGTTGATAGAGGGTACGATAGCTTAAAAGTGACATCACTGTCAGATAAGGGAACAAAATCCGATCACATATTTTACACGTTAGATTGTTATCAGACAATTTGCAATTTGGTGGGACAGGCCCTAAAAATCGAATTATAAATAGCAACTTATAAACTAGTTCACAATTTTACATGAGACAAAGTTTTTAGTCATTAAATTAATTATCCAATAAAGAAACCTTAAACGTACTTAATCATTAATAACAATTAAATATTAATAAGTAACGACAAATTCTATTTTAGGATTAGCATGACACAAAAGTATTGTAACATTTATAATGTTAAATAGCAGAATAAGTGTATTTTGCTTTAATATCTTACAAAAAACCTTATAAATCTGAAAATAATTAATGAATTCTTTTACTGATACACATTTTTAAAATACAGTGGACACTGTACTTTATTATTCATTATTGCGTAATTTCAATAAACATTTATACCAATGTTTTAGTTTTTATTTAAATTATTTTGATATTCTTAAATACATTAGAGGCTTTTGTGGTGACGACATGTGGAATTTTTACCCAAAGAATCAATGAGAAGTAAAGGCAAAAATTGAACTAGTCAATATTCCTTCATTATTAGTTAAGCTTCTTTTCACAGATTTCACAGATTAACACTATCCATGTGCTCCCGCATTCCATTCAATAACTTATAAGGTACATTTTTCATACCTTCATTGGTTCATTTCTATTACCAATAAATCCGCTACCATGTTAGAGGTACAGAAGAACGATTAAGGAATTCTTGAAAGCGGAAAATTATTAGGATAGCCTGTTAAAATCCGATTAACGCCACAAAAATTTTACCACATTCAATATTTGTTCCTTCAAGTAGTATATACTTTTAAAAATTATGGTCCACGACTGTATTCTAAAGATGTATTTGAAACCACCAGCATGTGTACGGTTGTCATAACTATACTCTGTCGATATGTCAAGTTCTAGGATACAAAAATACATGTAACCATATTTTTTGTATTTAATGAGAGGAAAAAGGAAGAGTGGTGGTGTTGTTAAGGCAAGAATTTGTTCATTCTCCATTTAACTGAGAGAGAGAGCTGATAATGATCAGCTCTACGCGAAAAAAAATAATATAATGTAATAAAAATAAATGACAACAGCAATAAATTGACCAAACCCATCTCTAGACTAAGCTACAACTGCATTGAAACTCCCAAACAAATTTCTCTACTAAGCTACAACTGCTTTGAAATGACCACACACCTCTCTCATCTAAGCTCCAACTGCATTGAAATGACCAAACACATTTCTCAACTAAGGCACAACTGCGTTGAAATGACCAAACACATCTCTCAACTAAGCTATAACTGCATTGAAATGACCAAACACATCTCTCAACTAAGCTACAACTACATTGAAATGACCAAACCCTTCTCTAGACTAAGCTACAACTACATTGAAATGACCAAACCCTTCTCTAGACTAAGCTACAACTACATTGAAATGACCAAACACATCTCTCAACTAAGCTACAACTGCTTTGAAATGACCAAACCCTTCTCTAGACTAAGCTACAACTGCATTGAAATGACGAAACACATCTCTCAGCTAAGCTATAGCTGCTTTGAAATGACAAAAAAAAATTCTCAACTAAGCTACAATTGCTTTGAAATGACCAAACAATCTCTCAACTAAGCTATAACTGCATTGAAATAACTAAACACATCTCTCAAAACTATCAATGTCATGTCTCTATCACAAATCGAATTATATTTCACTCTACAATATAGATCAAGCTACTTAGCTCAGAGCTCAGATATTTAAATCAGGTTGGTAATAACATTTCGAGGCAAAAAATGACTTAATAAAGGACAGTTGTTTGTTGAAAAAGACATTTACCACTGCAACCATTATGAGCGAGTCAAAAATAAAAACCAATATGAGCAAAATTGAAAACAATATAACTAAATTGTAGATGTTGCAGAGTTGTACTAACAAAACAAATACAAAAATATCTGTTTTTTTTTTCAAATATGAGAGGGACATGTTTTTGTACAATTCATCTGTGGAAAACAGTCATCATAAAAAATAATGAATCTTCATAGGTCTGTATCATTAAATTCTATAAATATGAGCACAAACATTAACTGATAAACTTAAAATTTAATCTCTTCCTTAAAATGTCAAATCTATTCAGGAAATACATTATCTTGAACATTATATATCAAGTCTTGTAACAAAATGTAGCTATTTTATGAAATTTTGTCACTGTTGTGACTAAAAATGTAGTTATTTTTCTTTCACAGATATTTTAAAATCCAATCAATATTGGAATAATATTAATTGTCCACTCGCCTTTTTGTCTCCAAACTATCTTCCATCTTCTCTATTTCATATAATTTGTGTGGAATATATTTTTATATCTTCATCTAAAATATGTCTAGATCTATCTTGTAAATTAATTGTTATTCATGTTAGTAATTCTCTTTTTAAACATCTCTGTAATTTATCATATATTTTCTATTCCAGTGACGTGGTAATGTCCTTACTGTAAGCCATTACATGTATTGACAAAACTGATTTGATACTGAAGTAGATGTAGTCCAATTAACTGCAATCATTAGTACTTTGCTATGAAATTGCTCAATATAAAACACATATCACTCATTTAAATAGTATAGATGTGTAAATATATTTGTATAACACGAAAATAAAAACATGTTATAAAATAACTGTAATCAAAACCTACCATAATATTTCCGTAATATTATCTTACACAAAAGCTTTTTGCAAATAAGGCATACAAAATCTTTTGATAAGCAATTCGTTCTTAAAGATACAAAAATGAAATTATGTTTAAATCATCTTACATGGTAACCCTAACATTATAATTTACATACACAATAACAGACACTTAATAAACTAATGATAACAACATTTTAAATACCATGAAAGTATGTGCTTTGTGTCGTGCTTATCCCATTCAATGTCAGTAAAAATATATCGAAGATCACGTTGTTCATCCAATAACGCATTTTCAATACAATAAAATATAATACTTTATAGCTTGCTGTTAACACTTTCAGTGCCACCGACTCGCCTGTGCGAGCTCACATTCATACAAGGAAATCGTATTGGCATGGAATGTGTTAAGTAACAATAATATTTATGGTAATAACATTTACCTTAATTCTGTTGGCAGTAGACATTCACTTTAGATATGGAAGATATTTTATATAATTGCATCGCCTTCTCAACAAACCTTCAATGTTTATACTTTTATCTAGATGTACCATTTAAAAGAAGTGCTTTCCAATGCACATGACGTTTGGACACAAAAAGTAGAAAGTATTGGAGATATGGTTTCCCCCCTGGAATAAATCCCTTATAAGATACTTAGGCCCGCCCGTGTATCGAAGTTGTTAACCCTTGCAATGGGGTCACACCTCTAGCACAACCCTCTTCAGGTAAGAGGTGCCGGGCCTGTAGGAATAAAATACAAGGCATTAATAATGTGACAGTCACACATGAGCCATCGAGTGCTTGTGTACAGCTCGTGGCTCAAACAACCGGCTTAGGTTATAGTAAGGTGATAGTTGTAAATGTGTACCTTTAACTGAGCGCACTGACGCATTACGATGGCTCAAGTGACCTTACAATAGTAAATGAAAAGAATTTGTGATCCTACCTTAAGTAAAGTGTTGATCTCCCTCAGCGAGGTGATAGGGAAACCCTCCTTCTCCTTTTCCATTTTTAAACGTTTCAAAGCCACTATTTCTTCAGTGGTCTTATCGCGAGCTCTGTAAACAACTCCATATGTGCCTTCTTCAATTCTATTCAGACATTGAAACTCCTCAACCGATCTACACCCCTATAAAATTAAAGTTGTTAGTAACACATGAAAAAACTTTGCATCAAGAGACAAATGCTCTGCACTACCCAGTAAAACATTTTTTAATTTCTCAAAATATATACTTACATTTTTACATATTGTTAACATAAAAATGCTGATAAAAACATGTTCTTGTCCAAAAATCCTTTCAGTACTTTTTTTTTATTAACTCATAATAAATAAAGATTATAAAACTACAAGTGTAAAGACACAAAGATAAAACAATTTAACTATAATTTGATTATTGGCTCTTATTAAATAAATGTAGTATTTACCTGTAAAGCAGGGAAATATGGTGGCAGTAAGTTGATTTCCTCTTCTTTTAATCGTAATTTTTCGTCATCATCTTCCACTTTCACTTCTTCGGCGGGTGGTTTACCATTTTCACCAGTAGGGGGCGGTGAAAATGAATGTGACCTACTTCTACTTTTTGATCTAGAGATAGATCTGAAAATGTTATTAGCAAAACATTAAAAACCAATAAGTGCTTAAATTAAATTGTACCTTCTATTTTTTCTATACTTTCACTAATAATCATTATTTAAAAGTAAATGTTTTTTCACATTTTATTATAGCTACTGCCTTTTACCCACAATTCCATGTGCACAGAATTAAAAAAAAAACTAATACCCTATATGTTCTGCCAGATTATGTTCTACATTGTGTTAAATTTTATTGAGAAGTGTTAAGCTATTTTGGAAATACATAGTAACAAACATGTATCCAAACTTTAGAATTTATTATATTACTATGTTCAATTTTAAGATAATGATAGAAGCTTCTAGATTATTAATATTACCTTCTAGATCCATTGGATGAAGGACTTCTGTGAACTGATTTAGGTGAGGGGGATTTTGATTTTGATTTATTTCTTGTTTTCTCTTCTTCTTCTTCTTCTTTATCACTTCTTTCTTCTTTGTCAGACTTTTCTTCATTGTCATCATCATCTTCATCATCTGCCGATTTCGACTCAGCATCAGAATCAGAATCTGTGGTAGTCTCTTCGTCAGTCTCGCTATTTGAATGTTCACCTAAAATTTTTAAACACAATAGTTCTTTATTGGTTGAAATAATAAATACAAACAATATAAGGCAACCGGAATACTGCAATGAAGTTTACTGTACTTATTAACTTAGACTTACCTTCTTCGGGTTCTGAATGAACGGAATCACTCTTCATATCTGTGTCACTTGCATCCGACACGGTCACAACTGAGTCATAGTTAGGTGATTGTTGTCGCTTCTTCTTGTTGGCAACATCATCTGGTGAAACTGATCTTTTTTTACCACGGCGGCGACGCTCCTCGCGTCGAGCTTCCAACTCTGTCCTTGATTCATGTTTGCGTTTTTCCATTTCTTTTTCTAAAAAATACAAACTTATTATAATTTGAAAGTAAACATTCAATAAATAATTTTGAGAAGTAAATCAAACAATTTATAGTTTGTAACAGAAATGTGATACATTTATAGACAAAATAAAGTAAATACCCTACCAGCTTCTAACAATCGTTTTCTTCTTTCTTGTTGATGTCTATCCAGTGAAGAAGAATGCCTTTGTCGGTCGTCAGATTTTGATTCTTTATCTGTGTAATCAGGCTGTTTTTTATTGTCTTGGTTTTGTAATTCTTTTGATATTCTTTTACTAAGTAATCTTGTCCTTAAATCTTCTAGCTCTTTATCACCAGAGGTTCTATCTCTATTTTCCTTTTCATTATTATGATTAGGTCTATTTTCTTCAGCTAGCAACCTTAACCTAGATTCAATTTTCTCTGTTTCATAACGTTTTCTCTCATTCTCTGCATATTTTTGTCTTTCACGACTTAAATACATTTCACGTTCCCTTTGCATCTCTTTTTCCTTATACATTTCTTTTCCCCTATAAACATCTCTTTGCCGTGGTGCTTCACGGTATGTAGGATTTTCCCTGTACATTTCTCTTTCCCTATAATGTTCTCGTTCCTTATAAGGGTCCTTTTCTCTATAAACATCTTTTTCTCTGTACATTTCCCTTTCATGGTATAATTCTTTCTCCCTCATTTCCTTTTCACGATATGGATCTTTTTCTCTATAGTACTGTTTTTCTCTATAATACTCTTTCGTCATTTCTTCACGTTCCAGATTTTTTGGTACCTCCCCACGTTTTGATTTATCAGGCTTGTCGCGTTCCCTATATGACAAATAAAAATATACGGTTATACAACATCAACACAATGTTTATGATTTAAATCACTTAAAATTTAATAAATAACCGAAACATTACCTGTAAAAATGTTTCTTCTCTTTTCTTGTGGCCACTTCCTTGTATCTCTCTTTCCCTGAACGTTTGTGGTTTCTTTTGTCCCTGTGTGACGGTCGAATCACGGCTTGAGGAGGTTTAATTACTAATGAGTCAGCATTGTCTCTGTCCTCATCGGATAAGCTAAGGTAAAAAACATTAGATTTTAGAAAACAGTATTGGGAAAAACCAGACTTTTTGTTTTATAAAATGCACATAACAGTACAGTCTACTAGAATATTGTCGAAACTAATTCACAGCAAGGAAAGTTTGTTGATTTATATTATTTTTCATTAGAGAAATTCACTGTTAATTCATATAAAACACAGAAAGCCAACCTAAAATCCATTTCATCATGTATAGGGCTGCGTGCTAATTCTCCGTCTTCACTTTGGTCGTCATCGTAATTACTCATGTTATCCTCACAACTAAAGCAAAACCAAGGAATTAACACGACAAAAAAGCAATCGTGTCACACGATTAAATTAAAGAAACTCTAATTTGATAAATAGAAATAGAATATCACGAAGCAATGCAATTGAAACAATACTTTAAAAAGATGAAATAGAATTCGCCATTTTGTTATTGGGAGGATGACGCAGCCACCAAAGACTATAATACACCTCCATAGACTAATTTACTAAAAATCATGCATAAGACAAATGGAAGACCATTCTGATATTATATAATAACTTATTTTGGGCCAAAGCAAGATGGTTTCACCACCTTTCAATATTGGCAGCAATAGCAAATCTTAGTTTTTGAATATCAATATGGAAATCATGGACATAAATCCATTTATGATGGCTTACGGCTGAAGATAAAAAAATTGCAACATCACCTAACATTAGTGTCAGTGTGTCACTTGTCACTGTCAAATTAAATTACGGATGTAAATATTGTATTGCCGTAGTTTTTATTATTTCATTAATTATTTAGAATCTCCTAATCTCCAATTTTATCACTATATAAAGTGTTTAATACATATATGATGCTTCTTGACACTTATGAAAAGTAGCAGATTTCTAATAATAATATTAACTTAATGTGATTATGATAACTAGTTTTTAATTAAACCATGGTTAGTGAAAATTTAATTATGTTGAATACATTATGTTTTTTTCTTAATAGCTTCTTCGTGCAATAGTAGTTTGACTGTATCTGTGGCTATATTATAACGCCTAACAAATATTGTTAGTTTGATTTGTGTTAGCCATTGTAAAATTACCTTGACCACTATTAATTAGAGTATATGAACTGAAAAAGGTGCATTAGGTACTTTCCAGATGTTATTTGCGTGAGTAAAAATATCCAATGTCGATAATAATTATGTAAAAAACACTTATATTGCTTTAAACATTGTTGACAGTGGATCCGCCCATTTTTTGTTTGTTACAATTGTATGTTCAAGTTAAGTTTACACTTGCTTACAAAAATATCCATTTAGAAACCATATGTTGTTTCAGAATAGTAAGATATTGAACACAATTGCTAATGCTATTGATAACAGGGAAGAAGTAAAAAAGAGAACAGAGACTGGACAGCAAATTCTGCGTGATTTACAAACTTGTGTTGATAATTGCAAAAACCGATTTGGTGGAAAGTCTGAACTTGCAACTGAAGATGATTTGAGGTAAAATTTATCATTGTCACTTTCATAAACTGTGTGTGAACTTCAAATTACAAATAAATAAATAAAAACCGTTTGACACTACATAACATTTAAATTTAAATAAGATACTAGAATAATGACATTCTTTGTAAATTTTAGAATAGTTCAATTGTGTGAAAAATGGGAAAAAACACTTAGTCATGGGATCAAAACAAATTTATCAAATTCAACAATACAGAACTTAGTTTCTGCTGGTTTAAACTTCACATTTAATATTATTAATGTTGGTAAGAATACATTTAATTTTCTCTCTCTCTCATTGTTTTAATTAATTTGTTGATCTTAATTTATGTAATGAATGATGTATTAAATGAAAATTCAATTTAGGCAACTCACTTTGGAGCTATTGTTGTCTACATCTGACAAAACATGAGAAGGAAAGGTTTAAAATTCTATCAAATATCAACACCCCATTAGGTTATTTCAGAGCATTTATAAGAGCAGCTTTAAATGAGAGATCCTTGGAAAGGTAATTCTAAACTATGTAATTTGCATTTATAATTTCTGTAAAGAAATGTGAGTCAAAATAACTGGTTTCATACAAAAACTACTTTTATATGTCAATGAATTCAAAATTATAATCTTAGCTGTAGATATTAGCATAGACAATTAGAATTTGATGTAATTAATAAAACAGAATAATTGTTTCTATTTAGATATTTACAAAGTTGGATAAGCCATGGACTTTTATCAGAATATTATGAAGAAGATGCCATAGTCAGAACAAGGGAAGCTAATTTACTTCCAGATATTGCAGCTGGTATGTTATTTAGTTATATTACATTTAAAATTCATGCATTTATTCTACGTTTGCATACTCAATGTCACTAACCAATAGCAGAACTGTTATCTAAAAAAATCAATATCTCATATTAACCAGACTGCATGTCTAGATAACAAATAACTAACATTAATAATTGTTTCAGGTTTATCAACAATATTATTTGCTTTATCAATAGACAAAGCTGTGCTAAATGATTCACAACAAGCAACTCAAACAATGAAACCGGAGCATGTCATTCCCCTGCCCACTCCAATAAAAGCATCAGGAAATGTTAACAGAAAGCCTATCCGTCAAGTTATAACATTTGAGGAACAAAATGACAGGAGAGATAATAAGAAAAATGATTCTGTTGCTCAAACTTCTAGTATGTTATGGAATAGTGCTCCTCCAACTTGCCTTAACTCCCCAGACCCAGTGATAATTCCTCAGTTAACATCAGCTAGTGAACCAACAAGTTCCGAATACAAAAGTGGTATTCGACACTTCTTTCCCGACAGTGTTAAAGGAATTGATAGTCCATCACAAATTCTGACCAGATTGTCGGAATGTGCTAAAGAAATCTTTTCATCTTCCAGTAGTATAGATAGGAATAATGTGTCCAAAGATGACAATGCATCAGATTTAAGTGTAAATTGTTTGAAAATCTATGAGAGTGATAGTGAAGAGGTTGCGGGCAGTATAGATGGCAGCACATCATGTTTAGAACTTTGTTTTACAGAAGACGAAGGTGCTAGTGATGAGAAAAGAGTTAGTTCTGTTTTAGATCATAGGGAAAAAGATTACTTAGATTTACAAATCAAATTCAATCAATTTGAGCTTAAAAGCAAAGAGAAAGTGCAAAAATTGGAGAAAACAGTTGGGGATCTAAACAAGTAAGAAATTTGCAATATAAGATATTTCTGAGACAATTATTCACTATAAAAATAATAATGCAAAATATTTTACAGAGAAAATGAAAGACTAAAAGAGCAACTGAGACGTTACATGTCGGCTGTGGAATCTGGTATTGCATTGAAAAATGGTAGCGAACATGATGAAGAAATCAATTCTTATGAAAAGAAACTTGTGCAAGTGAGTATTCATTATTTATCTTTACAGTAAAAAATAACAAATGATATACAGTTCAACTAACATCAAAACCTACCTTAAAATAATTTACAAGCTTTGTTTCATTGCCGGAGTTATAATTTTTTTTTTTTTTGTAGGTTGCAGAAATGCATGCAGAACTTATGGAATTCAATCAACATTTACAAAGACGGCTACAAGATATGGAAAGTGCATCAGGCTTAGAGATTTTAGATTACCCTGAGTCAAATGTAAAAGTATTTATGCCAAGTGCATTTTTAGTTGGAAAGAGAACTCATTCATACCATGTGTATCAGGTAAATAAAAACACGTTTTTAATGAATTTTTAAAATTGAGATGACATGTTTTTATGCCAACAAATATACAAGGAGAGAGAAATAAGTACTGTCAACTCTGTTAAAGCGGACAAGTCTATAGAAATATGTATTAATTGTAATTAAATTACAGTATCTGTTGAAAAAAAAATTCATGTTACAGATTTTTATAAAAGTAGGTCTTGAAGAATGGAATGTGTATCACAGATACGCAAAGTTCCACGAGCTTCACACGCAGCTAAAGAAATGCCATCCTGATATAGCTAATTATAAGTTTCCGCCAAAGAAGACTTTAAGAAAAAGAGTAAGCATTATTTAATTTTAGTTTTTTCTAAATGTCAATTTTTTAAATAAAAATATATTCATCATCAACTTGCCCTTATCCCTTATGGAGGGTTGGCACAGTATGTGCTGCTCTTCCATACATAAATAAAAATATATTGTAGTCAAAAAAGATCAAAGAAATTATAGCTGGTTTGAAATAGGTTATGCTTAAGAAGGGATTAAATTCAGATTTGCCGGCTGATATGTATGTAAGAGCAGCACATACTGTGCTGACCCTCCGTAGGAACAAGGTCATGCTGATGTTGACCATAATTAAAATGAACTAAGTTTTATATTGTGTCGGTCTTGCAAACTTAACACGTTGAATGCCATACTCATTGTGCGAGCTCTCTCATATGTAGAGGTTGTAGTAAATATTAATTGTTGCAGGATGCTAACCTGGTGGAGAAGCGGCGGGTGTCGTTGCAGGCGTACCTGCGGCACGTGCTGCTGGTGCTGCCGGAACTGCGCGAGTGCACCAGCCGCGCACAACTCATCACTTTACTTCCGTTTTTTGGGTGAAAAACTTTTTTACTTACGCGCCCATTGCTTAACCCTATTTCCCCTTAATATTAAAATTGCGAAGGTTTGGATGTATGGATAAATGTTTGTTACTACGTATCTCCAAAACGACTCATCGGATCTCGTTTTCTGCGCAGGCGATAGCCAGTTGCATTTTTTTTAACACATTAAATGCCATCGACTCGTTTTGCATATACTTTCGTACATAAACATTTTAGTAGTATCAGGTACAAATAAATATAATATAAACAAAAAAAAAAACTTAGGTTAGCAGTAGGGAATGTGTTTATCTATCGTTATAATAAATGAAATATCTCATTTTTACAGAACCTCTTCGAGTGGTAAAGAAAATGGTGCAAATCCAAGTCTGGATCAACATTCGAGTGATTCCATATCGACCTATGACGGACTGTGATGTCGCATATTGAACGAGATTCAATAAATAAATAATTAAAATTGTTTTAGATGCAATTAAAATAGAGGTAATATTTAGATTCGACAATATTACATGCAAGTTAATTTACTAAAGAGTAACATGATGAGCAATAGCTAAATACCTTATTTAAATTTGTTTTTTTTTTTATTACATTCTGCCTGTTTTTTTTAATGCCGACTATAATCTGTAGTTCTGATCTATTTTACTTTTTAAACGTTCCACGGCATTACTTTCTATCTAAAATAACAGGCAAATAATCAATATTATGGAATTTGAGTTTAAATATTAATGTAAGTCCTTATATTTCATGATTTTAATGTTTATTGTAATATTTCATATAACCATAAGTGATATATATTTTCTTATATCCAAAATTACATCTGTGATAATATTTAGTCGGTAAAAAATGACGAAAGAATTTTAACGAAGCAAGGATATGGTCAATCGATTTTTTATTTATTCGTAATTTGTAATCAAATCATTGTAAAGTATGAATTATTCCATACATTAATTTTATGTTTTATAAAATGTATGTTTTCCAGTTTGTTTACTTATGTAAGGTTCTCTTTTGTAATTAATTTAATTTGTAAACCTCCAAATGTGTTGTACACAATTTGGGGTTCAAATCTCTTTATTTATAACAGTATTCATACTTTGATTCGTATAGATAATTGTATTCTTAAATTACGTTGAAAAAGATATAAAAATAACCATGTCCATACATATAAGCTTATTTATAAAGCACTTAGAACTGAAAGTTATTATAATATACATTGTCAAAAGTGATTAATGCGGATTGTTTTTTTTACCTACAGTAAAATGTTTATATTAAAAAGACAAGTAAATTGAAAATGTTTGAATGTAACAACGAAAATGCGTTGTGTAAATTAGTTGAAAAATTAAGCGATTATATAAAAAAAGCATATGTTCCGCTGTGTAATTTATAGAATGGTAGTTTACAATCACACAATGAAATAAATATCGTAAAAAATATACATCAATCTTTTACCGTTTGAAAAAAAGATGTTTTTCAGCAATGAAAACGCACGTTTACACCGTGTTGTATGAACTAATCATCATATCATACAGACAGCTTTAGCATTTTTTAAATATAGGATCACACGATAGTCCAAGTAGAATGTAGTAACATTTTGTAATTTATGAATTTGTAGATGTTTTATATCACTTGTAATATATTGTTATGACTGTATGATTATCGTTGAATATAATTACTGAAAAAATTATAATTTAAACAGTCTTTTACTGCAACCTCTACTTTCTTATTAAAAGAAAATCTTTTAAATGATGAAATTCATTGGAAAGTTTGCACTAAATAGGAAGTCCTAAGGGATCATTGGTAGGATTAAATAAAAGACACACGTAGCAAATTAAATTCATAATTTTATTTTTATAATAAATAAAAATCAAGGAAAGGCTCTTTCGAACATTTTCCATTTATTAAATACATCGTACAAAAGATGTAAATACAAACTAAATCACTTGGTGCAAAGGCAAGCCTGTCGGTCCGCGGGCGGTCGCCGCCGGGCGGAGGGCGGAGGGCGGTGGGCGCTCTGCGACCTCCGGCGGTCGCCAGTTTGAGCTATCGCGTATGGTGAGGTGCATACAGCACGCCAGCGGAGGCCGACACCGACACCGACAGCGCACCGGCGGACAGCCTCAGTACACGCTACGTTTCATAAAAACCGAGTTACACAACACATACAAACCGCTTCCTCGTGGAATGCACCCAAACGTATTGGCGACTGCGAATGATAAAATATGCGTTTAACATGATTTTAATACATTGTAAATAAAGAGGTATTGTAAAAAGCGTATAACACTTCAAAAGTGAAAAAAAAACGAGATAATTTAGTTTCTTTCTTTATATCAAATAAATAAAATATAATAAAATCGAGTATCTAACTTAAGTATGAAATAATTTACTACAACTTTACACCTAAATGATATAAATGTATTGCAACACAAAAAGGAGCTTTGGAACCATTCAGTGATTCGGGCTGACGTTGAATTTGCGTCGATTTCCGGTGATACGTGTCGAATAATAAATCTAACAGTTGTGATTCATCTTTGGTTTTGAGAAGACGTGTGTCGAGCTCAGTTCCATAACTCCTCGCGGGTCGCAGCAAGGCGCGACCTGGTTATTTCATAAGTACTTACATAAGTTACAGATCTACTATGAAGCTAATGCATCTTAAAGCGAATAGAGAACTTTAACCAAACGAACGGCGCGGTGAAAATCAATTAAACTAATAAATAGCGGGGAATCGTTTAACTGGGAGAACGGAGAACATGAAATGTGTATGAAGTATTTTAAATGCCTACCCACTGCGGGTCACGGGCGAGTGATTGTCGTTGTTTATTCTATATGCAAGTCTTCTATTTATTGACTAAACATACTAAGAAGAAAGACGCGATATAAAATAATCGATTAATAAAAAACATCACAGCTCACAAGCAAACGGTGAATATGAAGCGTCGACCGGACAGTCAGTCGTGTGATCGAATGAAATCCTACTCTACGATACATAACGCACTCTGGCATTTAAACCGGGAAACGTCTACTGCTTACATAACTAAGAATCGGCAAAGAGTTAATTTTAAAAGTTCACAATCCGGAGCGATAAAATGTCGAAATAGTTAGTCGGAATAGATTTTCATATTCTAGTGTCGAATATAAAAATCACTCGCTAATCGGTATGTGTATGTGCGAGGATGTGCGAGAGTGAGGGTGAGGGTGTGGGGGTGCGCGGGGGCGCGGTGCCTGCGGGCGCACACTTGCTGTGCAGCAAGTGGCCGAGGCGGCGCGCCGCGCACCGCACACCTCGCGGCTCGCACCGGACAGGGTCGTTTCAATAACTTATTAAATGCTCGCATTCCGGCATAACAACGCTTATCACAATATATAAAAATATATATTAAAGAAGCTTACACTACAACTACACATTGATAAGATGCACGTGCCCGTACGCCTCTGCCGAGACCGTCGTCATTTTTTAAAATTTATTTGTGCGGCAGCACACGCGAGCCTGCAACGTTCGGCGTTTACTTAAATATAATGACATATCGCATCTATCGAACAATTCATGTCGTTTGTATCTCACCGGGAGAAATGGGAGCGAGTCATATCACATAGATCTATATAATTTCAAATCTGTAATGGTAACTGGCTCGGCGCTCTTTGTACTGGTCGATCCCTCCCGCCCTCGCTGGGCCATTTCTTCCCACAAAATACACAACTTCAAGACATTTACTGGACAAAAGCGATGCACATAGAACATTATAGTGTACGGACTAAATGTAATACTTTTTTGTCATTTTATCATAAAAATATTTTTTTCACAATTTCATTTGAATAGAGCGACATTTAGAACAAAGCTCTGTATCAGAATACAATATTATAGTAAGATACCCATAGAAGAGAGTAACGGCGGGCGGCGGTGGCGCTGCCCTACAAACTCAGCGACAAGCTTTCTCTAAATACGTGTGCACTTAGTGACATTAAGATTAGATAGTCGAAAGGTTAAGCCTTAAAGGATTCTACTATATTTTTGTTATTTTTTGTTGCAGCTTATTAATTAGGCTTTTCGTAAACACAAAGTAGTAATTATATTAATATGGGTATAACTTTTTTTTCGAAACGATTTTGCCGCCATACATCTACGAAGTTTCATTTAAGTTCACTATGGTGACTTCGGCAATCTCTTCAACTTTCATCTGAAAGAAAAAAGAAATAATTGAGACGAAAACTTGCACAAATCGAGAAATAGATTCGTCTCGATTGCTAGGAACTAAGAAAAAGTCCTTATTGTCAAAGTATAGTTAAATTTTGCGAGAAAGCTCTCACAACGTTGTTTTTTTTTTTTAAATTCAAAAATGAATGTAACCCACCTCGTCCGCCGACGATGATGGACTTGCGCTTGATGTCCTGCGCGGGCGCGGGCCGCACCACGCCGGGCGCGCCGCTCACCAGGTGCCCGCCGCCCGCACGGATCGGCTTAGCTGTAAAAAAATAGCATTACATTTATTGACAGTTACTTGTTGTGGTACAAACACAGAGAGAAAATTAGGACTATAATATTACCGATTTGAGCCTGGGGTCCTCTCCTGGCGAGGTTCTTGGCCCGCACAGCCTCCTTGATCCTGTCCACCTCGAACTGGTATCTCTTGCGGTCGCGCATCGCGCCCTCCTTCGCTTCCTAATAAACCCACAAAAGTTAATATAAATAGAATTGTATATTTTGATCTTTCCCACAGAAAAAGTGCCACCCTAAGAAATCGCCGCGGAGCCTTCGATATCTTTATGTTATCGCCTGGGAGTTTGTTTTTTTCTAAAGTAATTTACAAAAATATTGCTAGTATAGCCGTCCGCCTATATTTTAAATGAAGTCATTTATGTCAAAATATTTAACAGAGTGATGAGTATACCTTGAGCGCGGTCTCGAGCGCCTTGACGCGCTCCATGGTGGCGCGCAGCCGCTTCTCCAGCTTGGGCAGCTCGCAGCGCAGGTCGGCGTTGTCGCGCACCAGCTGCTTGTGCACCTTCGTCAGCTGCTCCAGGTTGTTCTCCAGGAACGAGATCTTCTGCTTCTGCGCCAGCGAACCGCCCTCCTCCTCCGCGCTCTCCTCCGGGTTCGTAGACTTCTTTATCCTAGCCTAATGTAGAAAAATGTTTTGGTTTTATATCTTACTAATATTATAAATACGAAAGTTTAGATGGATGGATGGATGTTTGTTAGAGTTTACAGCCTAAACGGCTAAAGGGATCACGATGAAATTTGGCATAGATATAGAGGATAGTCTGGAAGAACACATATGCTACTCGATTGTTTTTGTTTTTTAATTCACGTTGATTTATTTGTTATACCGATAACTCAGTATACGCTCGTTCGTCTCACCTGCAGGTCCTGCACGAAGAGTTTGCGCAGATTGTGCAGCGTCTGCAGCTCTTTGGCCACCGTGTCCTCCAGCCCCTTGAGGTCTGCGCGCGCCTGCTCGCGCCGCTCCACGCTTTGACTGTACACAATAACGATAAAATCAACCAACAAGCTCAACATAATAAACTGTGATAAAACACTTTTACACAAAAGTATTTTTTTAAGATAACATAGCAATAAGGAAAATAAAAGAAATATGTTATGGAATGGTTTTGACTGCATGATTTCTGAACATCACTCAGATTATTATTTGAAGTATTTTTAATAGTGATAAGAGGGATATTGTCTTAGTACTCAAATTACCTGCAGACGCGAAAGAGCAGAGCTATCATAACTCCCAGCACGCACCCATCCATATATTTAAAGTCGCTCGGTCATCAAAGGCCATCGTTTTAGAAAATGCCAACCCCCGGCAGAATGATATGAATGGGATACGTGCGGAATAAAATGACAACTCAAAAATTAACAAAAATAAAAAGCTCTAGGCAAACAAACCTTGCAACTACAGTAACCTGTACCTTACATCGACTACGACATACAGTTTATAAATAAAATAATATAATAATAACATTTAAACACCGATTCAATCTAGAAACGATAATTCATAATTTCTGATTTCAGTTTTGGAATTTTCTAGATTCAACGGCGACATAACGCCACGACCGGGCTGGGCAGAGCTACGTGCAAATGATTCCTGTTACTTTTTGTAATATAAATATGATAATTTGCTTTTGCTCGAAGTTCAGGGCCCACAGGTTGAGGCGACAATCACTCTTCGGCATTACGAGTGCAACTAAGGAGGTGATACGGACAACGGGAAATGAGATAAAATGCT